GCAATAAATGTTAAGTGGTTTGACTTTCGTGAAAGTCTAAATTGGTTTGACCGGTGGTCAAAGAGTTAATGAGAAACCCTTAACACCTAAATCGTTTTGAAAAGAAAGAAAATAAGTTGACTGTTGGTCAATCGTCTAAAGAACCGAATGTAAAGTTGAATTGATTTTTATTAAAAGGATAAACATATGCGCGATCTTAATCATTGAATTATTATGTTTATTCTTGTGCTACAATGGAGTGCCACTCAGCGTCAATGCTGAGCGGATAGCGTTGTTTTCCTTTTTGCTGTCCGTAGGTGATCAGACAGATGAACCTAGAGCCGATCCCAGAGGGCATTGAGGAGGAGATGTACGATGGCGTGGCTGTCTCTTTAATCTGTAGTTATGCTTTATTTAATTAACTTTAATGCTTATTACGTTTTCGGGCAAGATCCCAAGTTGTTTGACTTTAAAAAGGCTACTGCATTATTTGAAATTACTCCGATGAATTTTTATATGTAATTATAGAATGTTTGTTTAAAATTGTTTTGAAAATGTTGTATATTCGAATACCAATCCAGTGGCACACCGGTCCGCTGTCTCACGGGTTTGGGTTATACGGGTTGGGGTGTTACAGGTTTTCTTTTTGGGGTTTCATTTGGGCTACTCTTGGGGCTTAGCCCACCCCTTCCTCTTGTACTCCTGTTTTTTTTAATATATATATATATATATATATATATATATATATATATATATATATATATATATATATATATATATATATATATATATATAGGAGGATGGGGATTCTAGAGATGGAAAGGGGATCCGGGCGGAGGACTGTCCGGCGGCATTACGCCCCCACTGTCCGGCGGTATCACGAAGGTAGGGGTTCATATTTCCGAAAGAATCTACCCGATGGGGATCGACGGTGGAACTACTCCCCAAGAAGGGTTACCTACTTCTCCTCGTACCACGGCAGCGAATCTAAACCATGGTCAAACAGATGGGCAGCGACTAGCCCAAGGAGATTCAGGAACTGCGAAAAGTGGGATTCAAATCGAAAGGAAGCCTCAAACCTGCGTTACCACGGACCAAATCTTGATGGGTAAGGTAGGGTCTCCGCTCTCATAGAAAGTAAGGCTTTCAATTTCAGTTCTTCCGCAGGGTTTGTCCATATCTCTGAGTCAAAAAGAGGTATATCTCAGACTATTTGTCTCTAAATCTGCTGGTAAATGGTTAATTGATAATCTAGGAAGCCACAGAAAGGGCTGGTCGTTAACCTGGTATGAGGGGGATTCCTCTTTAAATGTTCTTTGGGATTCCAATACTTTTGGTTCGTATATACGGTTATCACAGACTAAAGAGGGTTCTCACTCTCAGATTTTCATACGCGTGGGTTTGGGAAACAAAGGCATTCATCTGTTTCATAAAGCCCTTAAATTCTTTGAAAGTTTAAGGAGGAAATGCAGAGGGAACAAGATAGACGGGAAGAACAACTCATAGATTGGTTCGAGGAGGAAAAGATAGCGAAAATTATCTCAATCTCCTCAGGACTTATGGGGATAGATATAGCAAGGGCCACCAATTAAAGAACGAATATGGAACAGGATAGTGGAAATCATCATCGAAAAATAAGAAATATGAGAGAAAAATTGGCATTATTTTTATAAAAAGCTCTCTCCCATGCAGTTTGAGAATCATAGTAATTAAATTTTTGAATTTGTCCATTGGCCATGAAAAAATCTTTGGCTTTATGGGGTTCTTGTCCCCAGTCTGAAATAGTTAAAACTTTAAAAATTCGGACTTTGCAGTATCTGGCTTTTGCAGGATTCGTATGGTCAAGGATGTATTGGAAACGAGCAGAATTGGTTGTGGTTAAAATGGTTTCGTAAAATTGCTGACTTTTTTTGAAGTTGTCTGGAATATAGAAATGAGATTTTGGTAAAATTGTTTCAACGGCTTGGTAGGAAGTAATGTTTGGATTTAGTTGAAGGTATCTTCCTATATACAATGGTAAGAGGGCTTTAGGAACAGTGTTCCCGCCCATTTCATCAGCTACAGTACTCGGAAAATTTGGACCGCACAATCCAGTAAAAAAATTTGGCGAAGCTTCCTTCATACTCATTTCATTTTAGTGTACGGATTCCCAGTCCACATTGGATATTGGACTCCGTATTCTAGATGTAGAGAGAGAGAGCGTGTGGAGAATCCCGCCGGACCAGCAAAGATTTGATCTCCCGGAGGCAACTTGAAGACAGTCGGACCCTTGCCTACTACAACATCTAAAAAGGTGAACATTTAATCTAGGGTTTTGTTCTTGATGCTTTTTTGGATTCAATTAGTGTGGAATTTAATCTTTGTTGGTGCTTGATTTGGGATTCAAACAGAGTCTACTCTGCATCTGCTGTTGAGGCTCCGTGGTGGAATCTCTCTAGGTAACTCCATGTTTTGGCAAACTCAAATGGGGCAGCCGTCCCCTCCGTAGGCCAAGCTGATAAAATTAGCTCTGATTCATCCGGCCACACCTTCGTCCTTTCGTTTTTCTTTTTTCTTTGACTTTAGCGGCCGGTCATTCCATCCGTACATAAGAACAATTAGACGCATAGAATCAATCGTCTCTGACTTTATTCCTCCATATCCAATTCATTATCCATCTATCTATCTATCTATCAGGTATTTCATTTTCTACCCTCATTTTCTTCTTCGAGTTTTTGTCTTCTATTAGGTATATGGTCATATTTTAGAAAATGATACACTACTCAACAAATCATCTTTTAGCTCTATATTAGTGTGTGATTTTTCTCAATTTTTTCCTACAGCCTTTGTCATTTTGTGAGTTTTTTTATTCAAAAAATTATAATTGGAAAATTATTGTTCTCATATTAAAGTGGACTTTTAGATTTTTGATATTACTGACTAAATTAGATTTTAATATTATTAACTAAATTTAGAATTACATTTATGAATTTCTTCATTTATTATTGACTAAATTTAGAATTACATTTTCGAATTAGATTTTAATATTATTGACTAAATTTAGAATTACATTTTTTTCACCTCAATGTTTAGGTGAAATGAACTTTTATTCAAAGATAATGTGAGAAAGTGCACATTTTTTGGGGTTTAGTTTATAGGGTGATTCACAAGATGTCTTCTCGCTTATATTCTTTGGGTGGAAAACATTACAAAAAAGGCGTGAAGGTGTGTAATTTCATTGACAACTTATTTATTCTGATAACTGATTTAAATTCTTCATTAGGAAAATGTTTGTGTTTCTTTATAGTTCAATTTTGCATATTGATTACAATAGTTTTGTAGTTTGCATATGGAATTCATTTGACTATTGAAGAGACACAACTACAAGCTGGATTTTTTTAAATGTTTGATTATCTTTTAGATTTTTATTACTACTATTCATGTATTTTTATTACTACTATACATGTCTCTTCTATGACATGTGTCATTCATTAAAATGTTCAGATTTTTATTATTACATGTGTCTTTTAGATTTTTATTACGACATAGAAGGTATGTTTGTGGGTGTGTTCAATTTTCTTAAAATAGTTGTTTACCTTTTAGAAGATGTCTTTTTTTAGAATAAATGTTTTGAACAAGTTTTTTTTTTGCTTTTGATCAATTATGTCAACATGATTGAGGTGGATGGCTTTGGCTCTCATAGTTTTTGATAAAAAAAAGTTTTGATATATCACGAAAGATTTTAAGGTTAGTTTTTTTCATTTCAATATTTTCTTTGGTTTTACGTTTAAATTATATGGCTTTATATTACTTCAACTGCAGGCTTCAGAGCTTTGAACCATGAGAGGAAGTAATCAAGATGTCATTGATGCACATTTTGCTGACAAAACGTAATATGACGGCTAAGTGAATAATGCACATGTTTACCTTTACATGTCTAATGCACGGACTTGCTAATCCAAATTTCACTGCTTCATATTCTAACAACTTGGCTTAGAGAATAATCTGCAATGATTATTTTAGTATTTAGTTCAATATAACTTCCATATTCTGATATGAGTTTTTGTTCACTTAATTAGCTATTTTCTCTGCAGACCCATTCTATTTCAACTCTGCCATGTTCGTAAGTGTATTGTGTAAGAGCTCAGTATGTTTTTCTTTTTATTATAAAATATAATTTCATCATATTTATATACTGAGCATATTCATATGAAAGAGGTCAATTTTAATACACTGAGTGTTTTTTGAAGCCCGTTCTAATGATAATATGTTTCTGAACATGATCTTCATGATCTTTATGTTGTGTGTTTATTCCTATTTGGTACTCATAACTGTATGTTTGGTTGTGGGTTTTTATTGACTGAAAGAATTGAATCTTTTGAATGGTTGATTCACACTTTTCTAGAAGCAATGGGTGGGTTGCATCCTAAGATTATTATGACTGACCAGTCTTTTGCAATGTCTTCTGCAATTTCTTCAGTATTCCCTAATTCCAAACATCGTCTATGTGTATGGCACATTTCTGAAAATTCCAAGAAGCATATAAGGGATTTGAGGAACCAGGATGGTTTTTTGGATCTTTTCGATCATGTTCTGAAACTTTGTCATACCATTCCTGAGTTTGACTATTACTGGAATAGGTATGTTCATTTGGTATTGTCTTTTGTATCTTGAGTGACATTCTTTTATTATATATTATTGTCATTTTCATTATAAATTTTATTCTTTTTTCCAGGTTGGTTACAGAGTATTCGTGTATGAATAATGATTGGTTAAAGAAGCTTTATAACATTCGAGAGAAGTGGTGCCCAGCATTTTCAAAGGATTTCTTCTCTGCTGGTATTTTGTCTTCCCAACGTAGTGAGTCAACCAATCATGCCTTGTCTAGGAAAGTAAGTGCAACTGCTACTCTATGTGATTTTTATCATTTCTTCTGTGAAACTGTGAGTGAATGGCGTAGTCATGAGAGGAGTGATAATGAACGATGTTGGGAGGGATTTCCAGAGATTGCTATCCCTTATGTGAGTTTACTCTATCGAGCCTCAAGAGTCTACACCATTGATGCATACATGTTATTTGAGAAGGAATTTATCAAAAGCTTGTCTCTTAAACATGAGATCAGACATTCAGATGGCAGTTCGCTTCGTTATTTGGTGTATGTGCCAACTGACAGTGTTTTTCCATACTTTGTTCTCTATGATACTTCCACTGACAGTGCTAGTTGTACGTGCAAACACTTTGAAGAAGCTGGCATTCTTTGTTCTCATATTCTGCGAATTTATCACATTCATTGTGTTGAAAATATCCCAAGTTGTTATATTTTGAAACGTTGGTCACGTAATGCGAAGTCATTTGAAGAATCCCATATTGCTTCATGTTCTAGGTTTCCTATTTTACCTTCTGTTTGGCGCTTACAGATGCAAAGGAAAGTTCACAAAATTTTGTCTTCGAGTGATTCCAATGAAGTAGCTAGGGCTTTGTGTGAGGAAGCATTTAACAAGTTGAAAGTCGATGTTGAAGCTCATGTTGGCAGCATTTATTTTTCTGATACTGATTCACCTCATAATGGAGAAGTTCAGATCAGTAATCCAAAGGGTTCGAGGAATAAGGGAGAAAGGAATGTTAGGCGGAAAAGTGTTAGAGAAAAGAAGACTAATCAAGCTAGAGGCCGAAAACAAGCTGTCCACCGGAGTGCTTCTACATGTTGTGCAGAACTTCCAAGTTCAATGGCTTGTTCTTCATTGTTAGATACATGAATTATGATTTGTTCACTTTTTACCTTAAATGTTTAAATGTTTGAGTATACCAGGGTGGAAATATTTATCGGCAATGAATTGGAAATGTTCACTTTGGAGTTATTTTGAGTTTTGAAAAAGTTTATAGGCAATGAGTTGGCATTGGTTTTGTTTCTGGTGCTTTATTTTTTACTGGGCAGTATGTTAACCATTGGTTGTGTTTCAGTCTTTTAGCTCTCCTGCAATGTTTTATCATGGCCATGTATTCATTCCTTTGGATGTCACAAAATAAACCACTGTCATCATAAAAGATGCTGACAGTGAAGGGAATGTCTCCCAGACCTGGGGTACTTCTCTCATATGTTGCACTGAATTTTATGCCTTTTTAGATCTCTGTAAGTTTTGTGTAATGAATACCATGACATATCCGAATGAGTACCAACACATACAAGAATGAACAAACTTTATTGTGAGAAATTAATATATCTTTCCTACTTTATCATGGCCATGACATTAGAACTGAATAAAAGTTTATGTAAACCTCTCGTACACAAATACGTATCTTTTCCTTCAGTGTGCCCCGCCTGGTGCACATGCCCGCTTGGCGGGCTCCGCGCTCGTTATCCTTTCCTCCCATTCATAAGCTATGGCAGCCGTTCGCAACCACAGGGGCCCGCCATGCGAGGCCAGAGTGGGCTCATCGGTCAGCCTCCATTCGAATTTTGTTTCGATCTAGAGAGATACTACAAGTCCTCCGTCCCAGATTCCATATGTCACGTTGTCTCGTCCCCACTGCACCAAAGAGTACCTATGCACTATGTTCCGGTTCACTGATAAGGAAGATAGAGTTGGGGTGGGGGTCTACGATGTGATTCTAAAGTATGAACATGCTAACTATGGGTAGGAAGAAGGAACATTTCGGGATCTCTATCGATCGACAAAGCGGAACCACCACAAAAAGAAGTGTTAGGAGCTGGCTTAAACGACTTCCTTTAGTTGAATCTTAGCTAGTTCAATATGGAGGCACATCGTGTCATCGGCGTGTCCCAACGACAGGCTATAATATTGAGTATTGGAAACCAATCCACTTGCAGCTGCCAGTGTCCGCCGGCTATGGCACCGTGTGAGCTTGAGGAACCATCCATGAAGAAAGCCGTTTGTTACGCACAGGTTGCTCTTGGGTTGGGTAAGCACGTGGACTTCAGAGACGTACCTTGCCTAAATCGTCAGAAGTATGACTCACATCGTACCCGACTCAATTTCAAACAAAAAGAACCTCTGCTGAAAGTAATATACATTTCTCAATCCCAAAAGTACATAACATCTGGTAACCACATTAGTTTTCATAACAGCAATATTACCATTACACTAATATAACCACATAAGTTTTCATCAAAATTAAAATTCAGTTATCCATAGTACTAATATAACCACACACAAAAAAGTTGTCTTCATCATATGCTTCAGCATTAGTCTTTTTCCTCCTATTTCCCCTTAGCTGCTTTCTTGATTTCTTTTTGAGCAATTAGTCCAGATTTGATTTTCTTCACCACTTCCTCCTTCATCTCATTCTTTTCAAATGTCAGCATCTCATTCAAGTATCTTATCCTCAACTTTTGCATCAGCTTTTCCTACAATATTCCCAATTTTAAACCATTCATTTTTAAAATTTTCATGTATAGAGTAATATTTGTGTTACCAAGAAATCTACCAGTACTTACATTTATGTTGTAACGCCCCGAAACATACCCTAGAATTATTATTAAATAATTATTCGATTAAACAAATTTGTTTTGATTATTATTGGGCTTTGGGCCGATATGAAATATTTTTTAAATATCCAATATCAAAATCTGGATAAGTCTAATCGAGATAAATCCAATATGTGGACTATTTGTGCGGCCTTGATTGGGAACCTGAGTACAGACCCAAATCAAGAATAAATAAATTAATTAATTATGATGTGAACTTTGTAATGATTTATTGAAATAAATCATGAGAATAATTGATATGAATTAATTGAGAGAACCTTTTATGAGAAAGGTCAATTAAACCAATTTTGACTCTGTTAAAAGTCAAACACCCAAAAATATGATGTCGGAAAAAGTATTACAAATAATTATGAAAAGTATATCGTTGGATAGAGCTCGACTGTCTGATCGCAACGGTGCAAACGGATTTCAATTTGGAGAAAGTTGGACCAAAAAGTGTACCCCAATTGGGACTAAATTAGTCCCAATTAGGGAAGAGTCGTGAGAATAACAGAGCCGCCCTCCCACGATCGTGTAAATGACGAAGAAAAACAGGAAACCTCATTGGTTCTACTTTCTCTTTACACTATATAAGCATGTATCCTCTCCCTCAATTCTTCATCAATTCTCTCCATTATTCTTTCTATTCTGTTGTTGAGAAAGTGAGGAGTGCGATGGTGCTGTCCGGAGAAGTTGAGGTCGCCGGAGCAAGCCATGGTGTTCGCCGGAAGTTTCGCCGTTTTTCCGCCGGAATCATCGTTTCACTTCAAAGTAAGCCCGTAGATATATCTAGTGACTAGAATGTTCATATAGATCGTTTCTACGTTTATAAGCGGTCGTTTGGTTGAGTTTTGTGTTTGACATGCTTGAAGAACCAAGAATCATAAACCATGAAACTGATGTTAAAACTATGAATTAATGATGCCAAAATGATCTATGAACCTTGGAAAACATCTCTATTCGTTGAAGTTCGATAACTAAAAACGGTATTTCCGAAATTTGACCCGAACGAAGAAGATGATGAACAGTGGCTGAAACACCACTGTCTGGATCGATCCAGGGTCTTGGATCGATCCCCTGGGAGTAAATTTTCATGGTATGGATCGATC